TACAACTCACTGTAGGGGTAAGATAGAAATAAGTTTGATATAATCTATTAATAGAAGTTGGCTCTTAGGTAAACATGGTTATGCAAAATAATTTCGATTCACCAACGCCAAAGGCCTACACGCATCTATACTCTAAATACAAATATATAATTCTGTCTTGATGTTAAATATTTTTTCAATCACTTTCAACTTGAAAGTAAACTTCTTCTCCAATGAAATTTTTAGTCAGTAAAAGAAAAACTGAGAAATTTTCAAAAAACCCAACTTAGGTCACCCGGACAGGACGGGGAACATGCAAATGAAATTTCTATTATGTCCTATATAAAGGATGGGGCTTTTCATACTTTAAAAATAAATTATTATACCACTACCGGATGCCAAATTTAAAGATTGAAATTTAGTTTATTGGTTTAAAATAATTTTATTAAATGTACCTTCTTTTTGAAATTGTTTTTGATCAAAATAAAAAATTGAATTGCATCGGTGAAGTGAATGAATTTAATCAGCCTGTAACAGGAGATTGCGTTAGATTGAATCGAGCCAACCTAGCACGATGTATGTTTCATTCTTTTCATTTCAAATGACGTTGGCTTATAATTTTGTAAATAGGTATTTAGTCGGAAGCAAAATTCAGATTTCGGATTTATATTTATAAAAATATTGATTTATAAAAATATTGATTAAAGTATTTCTATTGTCTGACTTTAATTTCATTATTTCTGCATTGTTTGAAATGTGCGCCATTAATTAATTGTTAAGACGAAATGTCGTTTGTTGTTAATAACATCGAAGTCGTCAAGTTAATTTTTTTTATTTTCATTGATTTAAATAAAAAAATTCAAATGTTTTATTTTTTTTATTTTTGTAAAATAATTTTGCAATAACTTTTGATTTCTTTAGTTTATTAAATCAGAAATGATTTCAAAAATTTTAATGACCAAACTACCTGAGTTAGCTAACTCATTTGTAAATACAAAAATGCATCGTTAAATATTATAAAATAATTTTTCCTATCAACAGTGATGAAGATATATTTACAAACCTCCACCCACATAACGACTGGTGTTGTTCACGACTCCGAGCTTTTTTGAGTAAACTGCGTCATAGCAAGCTTGCTCAGATATTTTCAACCATTCCAGTAAATTTTACCTTTACTATTCATTAATTCGTTCGTTCGTTCATTTGTTCATTCGTTCATTCATTTATTCGTTCATTCGTTCGTTCGTTCGTTCGTTCATTCATTCATTTATTTATGCTGGATTCATTATTTTATATTTGAAAAAAATCGAGCAGAATAAAACTAAGGGGAAAAAAGATGAAGATGCTGAAACCTTGCGAATAAAACATACATGGAAATTTTAAACCTAGTTCTACAACTCAAACTCACGCTACATTATCCGTGTAGAATTTTGCATCACACAAATTTGAAAAATTAATTTTAACAAGATTTTGTTTCAATGTTTCTTTCAAATCTGACAACGCTAACTTGATTTCAAAAACACTGTTAAAAATACTGTTCAAATTTTAACCAATCCATATTAACAATTTTAAACGGCAAGTGATGATTAACCTGCAACAGACATCAAGGAAGGAGTAACAAACTTATTCATTGAAATTGAATTCCAAAACGTCAACCTACATTAATTATTTTATTATTTTGAACTGAAATGATCGGCGGATGCAGTGGTTAATAAATCTGACTTGATTCTGTGTGTGTGTGTGTGTGTTTAATGCGTAGATTGGCCTTACTTGCGGGCATCATTTGCTTGCAGTTAATACCTCTAAAAATGCTTAAAAGAAAAAGAGCGGGATTTGTATTAGAAGTCAGTAAAACTTGCTGGTTTAACCTGGTCAACATTGAAACAATTTATCGAAGTATCACTCTTCGTCAATCAACTTTGGAAAAGGATCCAAATTCACTTATATATATATATATATATATATATATATATATATATATATATATATATATATATATATGTTGGTAATAGACCGTAATTTTTACAATATTATAAAAATATTGTAAATATATATATATATATATATATTATATAATTCAATTTACGTCGTGAAAGTAAAAACTTGGTTGGCCATCCAGCATCACATTTGAAGATTGGATCAAGAAATTTTTCTATTGCTGGTCCAGAAGTTGCAATAGTCTACCGAGCTACTTGCGACAGACTGGTCTCTCCGTCAACAGTTTTAAAAAGCTATTAAAGACGTATCTCTTTGAACAATGACATGTTTTCTTGTTATTATCTAGCGCTAGTTAGTTAAAAATTCAAAAGCGCCATCAAAAATAAAATAACACAACATTAAACATAAGATTAACCATGTCCTCACTAAAATAAAATCAAACGTAGAAATAATTGTCTGGCTGCGGAAAACTGTACGTTTACATCAAAATTTACATCAATTCAACACAATTACAAAAAAACACTATAGAACAATTTAAAAATTAAGATATCACTGTAACGAAAACAAAAATGTTTTGAGTTTCTTTCTGAAGCCTGTCATGGTCAACCCAATGTCCCTGAGCGAAGCCGGCAGACCATTCCAGACAGTCGGTCCTAAAACAGCAAAGCTTCGGAACCAATACACAAATTTGTAGCAGGAACTACCAACCGATTCCTATCAAATGATCTTAGATAAATCCCGGTCGGACGTGGCAAATCACTGTTGATTTTATCCTGCAGTTACTTTGGAGTACTACCTCTGAGTACCTTTTATAAATTATTCTTTTACCAACAGTTAGCCAGTGCAAATCTTTTAGTGTATACATACATACATATATATATATATATATATATATATATGTATATATATATATATATATATATATATGCTGTTGTTTAAAAAATATGCTGTTGTTTAAAAATATCACACCATTGTTCATTTTTTGCAATTAATTGAATTTTCATTTTTTTTTTAATTTGTTCAATTTGCAATTGAGTTTTTAATATTTTGCCCATTGAAAATAGAACAATGCTTGCAATGCAGTGATATTTCACAGAACACATACATTCGATAATAAATATTTAACAGCGTGTAACTAGGGATCCTTCCCCTAATAAATTTAGAATCAGAGAAATCATCGTTAATGATGGCACATAAAAGTGACATATCGCACATAGTTTTTTTTCCAAATTTATTTGACAAAAAAAGTCAGGAGATCAAAAAAGTAACAAAACTACTTGCGAAGACTACCCATGACTAAAATCAAACAAAAAATTACAATAATAGACATTAGTAAAAAGGAAAAAAAAACAGAAAATACATTCATAAAATTAGTTAAATACATTTAGCAACCACGTTAAAAAACAAATACATTGCATAAAAAAAGTACTGTATCACACAAAAAATGAAGGTCATACATAAACACAGTCAATTAGCACGCCCATATGTCATCACAGCGTCTTTTGCACATAGCTTAAATCCCTTCAAAGACAGATGTGTTTGACCATCCATGGCCAAATCATTCCATAATTTTGGACCCCTTATTATCCAGCTACGTTGGTAGGTGGAAGTTTTAAATTTGTTTAACAACAATTGACCACGTTGCTGGTATTTGTCTGAACCCTATCAAAAAAATTTAACTGCTCCTAATCTTTATTAATAAGTATTTTATAAACAAATACCAGCAGAATAAAATTATGTAATTGTTCTATTCTAAGAATTTGATGGTTACGAAACACGTCATCAGTATGATCGCGAAAGTTCAAAGAAAAAATTATTCGCATAAAGCGTTTTTGCATCACTAAAACTTTATTGATCCAATATTTACTGGCGGATCCCCAAAACACATTTTCATATAACAAATGTGGATAAAAAAAGAATAATAAAGTAAGATCATTGACTTGACATTCAACCTGTCTCTCACTCTAAACAGAATCCCAACCGCACGGTACAGCCGATGGACGATCATGTCGATGTGCTCATTCCATTTCAGATCACTTTGTATAACAATTCCCAAAAATTTTACCGAATAAACCCGTGGAAGAGATATGTCCTGGATAATCAGCTACTCGGGAAACTTTAATTTTGTTCGGTTTTATCGAGGGACCAAGGATGACATAACAAGACTTGGATATGTTCACTGTCAGCCCATTGGACAAAAACCAATCATAAAACAAACTGAGCTGGCTATTCATCTCCGTGAATAAGTCCAGCAGGCTCTTACCTGACAAAAAAATACTGGTATCGTCAGCAATACGTTGAAGATCGTAATAACTGTAAATAATTCGTTAAGCATTCACATTAAACAAACAAAGAATTAACATTGTAGAGACACATTATACTACAAATACTTGAGCACTTGGCCACATACACAACGCATCAATTCGAACACCGAAGATGGTATAGAAATACCGGAAAAAAGCTTTTTTGTTCTATCATGCTTAAATGTTCTATTATGTTTAAAATAAATAAAAATTTTGGTTCTGAACTCAATAAACTTGACAATGATATATGATGGAAGGAGACCATATTTTATACAGCAATGATTGTATGAATACAGAATATATATACAGGTGTAATTTTCAACACATATATAGAATAATTTATAGAATAATTTAATTGTTTTAGGTTTTATAGTAAAATTTGCTTCAAGCCTTATATATATATGTATATATATATATATATATATATATTTTTTTTTTATTTATTTATATATTTATGCTATTCAATTTCGTAAAAGGTTGAAACACCACCTTTTTGTCTAAGCTTACTTGTGCTAATGTATTTCTCTCTCCATTCTTTGCATTGCTTTAGTTAAGTGCTACGTAATGTACTGCAATAATCGTTGCACCTCTGAGATTTTTTTAAAGGGCGCTTACAAATACACCAATAATATATATATATATATATATATATATATATATATATACATACATATATATATATATCAACGAAAGATAATAATAATTCGTATCATTAAGCTATTTAGCATGAAAGTGTTGATGTTAAATCGACTAGCCGAACACTAGCAATAAATTTGCAACATGATTTTTAATTTAATCTTTTTACTTTTATCAAGTTTTGTAGTGTTAACCCATGAAGAAGATAAGAAATATTTCTACTTTGTCAGAGCGTACAGTTATCTGGTCGTTCGAAATGAAAAAACTATGGTCTCTTTCGAGGAGAGTGGATCATTCAACAGCATCCTTAGGGTCAGTGCAACTTCCGCAAAGATCTGCATGCTGAAGTGTCAGGTGGGTCGAGAACAGACTTATTTGTAATTTATAGTCTATTTTTTAGGGTTTACATGTTGAATGGTACTTTTTCCAATTTATAAAATTTAATATTAAAAAACTTCTTCCAACTAAATTAAATTGTAGTCAGAGGATTAAAAACAATTTGTTGAAATGTTAAAATAGAAATAGTTTGAAAATTATTTTATTACCGTTAGAAAGATTCATAATTGAAGCATGTTTTACGAAAAAGTTAAACTGTAATGAAATATATTTATTTTATGATAAATGTGAAATTGTCTCTTAAATTTGTTGCATATAAAAATACTATGAATATCGGTAATATTATTCTGAAACACAAAAAGTTGTTGACTGGATTCAAGCTTCGAGGTGTCAACTTCAGACCAGCCAGCAAATCGTGCTCCTGCGTAGAAACCAACAGCATCCAATGGTACAATGTCACTGCTCTGCTCAATGAGGAATGTCAAGCTTTTTTTCCAGGTTCGACTTGATTTCTTAAAACGTATATTAGTTTGATTTATTTAGAGAATTTTGGATTTATAAAGTATGCTTGTTATCGCGGGTGCATCTTGAAAAGTTTTTGAGTAGTTCAGAATAACTTTGAAACTTGGAGATCATTTTTCAATGTGACTTTTTAAGCAAAATGTTTTTACCAAAATTTACCAAATGGTATTTAGAACAAAACGGTTAACCGTAGTTTCAACCCAAACTCAACCCTTCATTTTCCACTTCCAAGCGTTGTGTCCTGTCTTTCTGTTGCATCCTTCCAGAAACAGAAATAATAACGTTTTATTGTTTTATTCCAACTTTGTTGCTACCTGTCTGCTAGTGTTTATGTAAGGACGCAAATGCATGTTTGGTCCGGTCTGCCAAATCGGTGCTGGCAAAATGTAATAAATGTAACGAATAAAGAAAGAAAGAGAATAATTGCATAAATGGTCATAAACGAATAAAAACTAAAAGAAAACACAATTGATTATATAAAAAAATAATAAGAAAATATTTGTTCGCAATTTCTTTTAAATGTTTCAAAACTTTCTTTTTGAAACTGTTTGTTTATGCATTACTTTCATTATTACATTACAAACTCAAGTTTGTACCAACTTGAGTTAGTACAAACTTCACATTTTCCCTTTCTATCTTTCTATCTATGTTCTATTATAAATTGCTTACAACGCAGACAAAATTACTCAAAAAATTAAATTTAATGTGATATTCATCCAACAAAACAAGAGTTTTCAAAGAATGATCTTTTAATTCACTTCAGCAATACAGTTATAAATTTTGAAAATTCAGATACTAACACTTGAAGCAGCTGGCCCTTCCTTGCAGTGTGGGCGGGCAGCGACCGAATTTGAATACGAAAACGGATCCCCCTGCCATCTCTACCTGTACCTGCCACATGCTATGTGTGTGATGCGTCGTTCAGCACTGTATTCATATAAGCTTTTGTGTTTTGTTGATTCTTCGGAATTCTAAAAGAGTGTATTACCCTTTTTAAAATTAGATGGCCATTTACCAAGAAGTCAGAAAATATTTGTCAAATTGATGCTTTCGACGAAGAAAAGTTATCTACAGCATCAATCTTGAAGAAGCGTTAAAATTGTTCGGAAATTTTAAAAACTAGTTAAAAAATATAACAAAAAAAAACAAAGACAAATTGTGAACAGCACTAAAAAGATATTCAAAGTTAGATAGATCATTAAATTGGAAAAAATCATAAGCGAAAGAAAGGAAAAGTCAGATGCAATATTGTTGCAGTCATCTATTGGAAAACAATGCAAAGGAACGATAGTGAATTAACGAAGATAAAATTTATAATGATGATTTTAGAGTACATAAAATTCATAAAATCATTTTAAATTAATTTTTTTCGTAAATTAAAAAAAGTTTAAAAATCTTTCAATAGAATAAAGGTCCAAAAGAATATCCAGTTTTGATTAAAACGTGGAACTATTCTTATTTGGTTTTGGAATAATAAACTAAGATTCATAATAAAAATGAAATCGACAAATAATAAATGTTCACGTTTTTTCTTAACTAATTAAACTACACTCCTCAGTGAAAACTGGAACTTTTGAATGCCCGCCCACTTTTCACTACGTGGTCGAAGCTCACAAATGCTTCAAAATGCTCTACGATTTGAATAAATGGTCAGTGGCTAAGAGTGCCTGCAATGGATTGTTTTCATCGCATCCACTTATCATTAGAAATGATCTTGATTTTGATATCTCTGGAAAATATGCGATTTCAGTTACAAAAAGTGAGATTTTGTGTTTTTCATTTTAATGCAGATCTGTCAAGCGCAGAACTGCTTACATGTGTTTCTATAGTTATAATTAGACTTTTGTGTCACAAAGGCTGTACTATCCACACCACTCGACGTACATATACATTATGCATGCACCGCATCGTACGGATATGACGGTCTTTGAGTTTTGGACAGACAGTATCGGAACCATGCCATTGCGTGATAGCCGCGCGAGACATGCCACTTTTATCAACTGAGTTGTTTCAAGTAGATTTTCATATTGGCGTTGTGACATATTTCAGATCATTCCTACGTGTGTCCAGGAGATTTCTGGGGAAATAGATTCGTATTTTGGACCGGTGGTTATCAAAAATTCATCAACGCTACGAGGCACTTTTTTTGGCATCCGTATTCAGGTCATTGTTTTTCTTAAATAATTTTGTTTTATGTTTAATAACGTTATTAACTATTTAATTACAATTCTAATAAAATTAAGTTTTATAGTAGTTCTAGTCTGGTTAACAAATATTTATACCTCTTTGTCTAATTTTGTAGTTTACAGTATGAATAAGTGTTCTTTTAACTGCTTGAACCAGATTTTTTACTTAAAAAGTATTCAAAAATCAAGATCCAACAAAAGCAGCGGAATAACTCAGTAGCGGTTCCAAACTGCAAAGTGATGACTTTTTGCTATTTTTCGTTGGTTCAGTCAGTGGGGGGATGATTTTGATAATGGACGTCTTTTTTTCATAGATAATCTTCAATATTTTTTCTGGAGCATTTTACATTTTCTGGAAGTTATAAATTTTAGACTATGGCAGCGTTACAAAAAGATTGATTATCGAAAAGAAAAACGATTTCAATTTCTGCAGGCGTGTTTGCTTTATCAAGAGGGCAATTATTAGACCACTTCTTAAAAATTATTTCTACCATTGTTACTTTTATTTTAAAACATTTTTACTTAACTCACTTTTCTTGTTCGCGGAGTTCGCTACTTGTTAATAAATTATGCTAATGTTATTTCTAAGCAGCAAGGAAGGTTTCTAAAAAATAATTTCTTACATATAATTAACTCTATTGATGCACTGCAAAAAGTGAGTAGATTACACGCACATCGTGAAAACGAATGCTTTATTTGATTTTTTTTCTTGTTTATTCGACCAATGAGACTTGAGACTTTGGATTTAAACAAAACGCAGTAAAAAAAAGTATAACATTATGAAAGTGTTTCTGCAAAAGATTATTTACTTTAATTTATTTCATGTATTACTACATTTAAACAAATCCCTCCATTTAGGGAATGTTCCGGATGATGAACTGAACGTTACAAAGTGGTGTCCCGGTCAACCGGATTCGTACAACGGCGTAGATTTCTGCATAAAGTACGTTGACGACGTTGCAGGCAACTATGTCTGCTGGGATGATGACTACTGCTCCTTCAGGTCCTTCTGTATGCTTTGCGAAATTGATTTAAAAATTTAAACAACTGAAGTGGTCCAAACTGCAACATTGAAAAGACAACTTAAATTTTTTAGTTTGTGCTAGAAATTTGCACAAATTCTTTTCTCTTAGTCTGTCAGTAAAGCAACACTTGTTTTAAAAAGTATAAAAAGTATGGACACATTTCAAGAAACTTTTTAATTACTTATTTTTCATGTAGTTGATTTTCATAAATAAATGATTTTAGAATCATTAGAGAGTAGAAATAAATCGCATTTAAACGACAGAATTTGAAAAGTGAACCGGTACCAACAGACTGAGTAACCTCACATGAAAAATATAACTTTCTTAACGTTTAACTCTAGCGGAACTCAAAAGTAACAAATGATTAGTTCAAATAGAACATGACAGCATATCACACTGCTTCTGTTTTATGGAATTTCAAACCAAAACCTTTAAACGAAAGCAAACAAAAATAAACATGCCAAGATATGGATAATGAAATTTCTTAACAACAAACTACACTTTAATAGAAGATATGAAAATACATTTACAGTCAATATTTGGACATTTTTTCGTAGAAAATGTTTAAAAAAATAAAAGTCAATATTCGATCCAATGTCAATTATGTGAAAAGTTACTTTTCACCTGTCATTTTCATACACATGTTTTTATTGTTTTCACTTCATACACAAGTTTGTATTGTATTTCACTTCACCTCATACAAAAGATTGTATTGTTTTTCATTTCACTTCATACACAAGTTTGTATTGAATGTGAAATCACTTATCGAACCAACGTTAAGAGCGTTGGTGATGTTGTTTTGTAATATTCTTTAAAAAAAATCAGAATCTGACAGACGTTAGAAAGTTTAAGAATGGAAAATAAGATTGATGTATCAATTAGTTAATGACTAAATTAGCAAATTATAATGTGTTCATTAGACAAGAAGGACAAATTAGACAAATTTCTTTAAAAGTTTTTTAAACTTTTTTAATCAACTTCGACGATTCCATAAAGCAGATTATTCCAGAACATTCGTCGGGCTATTTCAAGGCTCTCAACAGTCGTTTTCAGATTGCTCTCATGGAGTTTAACATTTTTGAATATTTTTGATCGGCGAAGACGTCCGTGAGACAAAATCTACAAAAATTTGACTCACTTTTCAAGCAAAACATTCAGACATTTGAAAATTAATACTCCTGTGTTTTCAAAATTGAAAAATCGTGAACAAATAATTTCAGCCAACCAATGATCAGTTTTGAGTGATTAAGTTTCAATCATTTATTTATTTATTTATTTATTTATTATCAAAAAGGCCTGGGCAGAGCCCTTTGCCCCAACTAAAAACAATGACAAAATAAAAGAACGTTTTCAAAAATAAAGGATGTGAAACAATTAAAGTCGTATAAATTATTGTTCAATGTCTACACCAAACGACCAAACACGAAATTAAAATTTAAGCAATTATTTAATAATTAATCAAGCTGACACAAATTTTTTATCACCGTAAAAGTCATCTAGTTTAATTTTAAATGTCTTCATAGATGGAGCATCTACAACGTCAACGGGCAGTGCATTCCAAGGATTCACGACTCGATTAGAAAAAAAATATTTTCTGCAATCTTTCCTTGCAAGACGAGTCTGTAAACTGAGATGATGACCTCTGGTGCCATTGTCCGCACGACGATCTAACAATGGGGAAATTGAAGGATCCACATAATTATGGAGAATTTGATAAGTTAAAATTAAGTCGCCCCAGATTCGTCTATATTCCAAAGATGGCAGATCTAATTTTATCAATCTAGATTTATAATCTAAACCTTTACATGACTTTGGAATTCTGGTAGCTCTTCTTTGGACCTTTTCCAATTCACCAGATAAACCTTTTCTATATGGGCACCAGACTTGCACAGCATATTCCAAACGTGATCTGACCAAAGATTTATAGAGACAAACGAACGCATCATCCGACAGGTCCTTGAAATTTCTGAATAAAATTCCCAACATACGGTTTGATTTTTTTATCTGCGTCATAACATGCTCTTTAAAAGTAAGTTGACTATCTACGATCACGCCTAGATCATGCATACTCTTTACTCTTGGTAAGATATGAGCAACATCATTCGAATCAACAATTTCATAGTTCATTGGAAAACATTTACCAATTGACAACAAGCTACATTTACTAACGTTGACTTTAAGACTCCATTTCCGAAACCATAACATAATATTGTTTAAGGAACTTTGCAACACTGCACCATCAGGCAGTTCAGATAACGTACCATATATCTTTGCATCATCAATCATATAGTCAGTTATATTATATAGGTGCTTGTTTGTTTGTTAATCCAACGGATTATTAATTTGTTAATTTGTTACTTTATTTTTATTGATTGATCAATTTATTTATTTATTTAATTTTTATATTTATTTAATTTTATTATTTTTTTTGTTTATTTACTTTTTGTTTTTTTTAACTACAATAGGACGGCTAAAAAATTAATTTCTTGTGGTCAACTAAAATAGTTAAATAAAACAAGTAATTATGTAAATGATTATTAACAACCTAATTATCAAGTGAACCAATTTCAAACACATTTGAATCAGAATCCCAAATGAAGAAAACAAAATTTTATCAAACATTCTATTTCATCAAACTATCCAGATGATTCAAAATTTTTAGATAATTCGACCAAATTGATGATCACATCATTAACCCAAAAAAAATGGTCAAATTACTCTAATGATTACAGGACACCAATGGAAATTGGTGTCCTGTAATCATTACAACGAGTCTGTTGTAATGAATCAAAATGCACTAGACAGTTCCCCTCTCCAAAAATTGATAAAAGGTGCCGTAACGCCACTTTGTAATTAAATTCAAATAAAATGAAACAATTTTCGGCTCTATTCACAACGCAGACAGCGGTGTATAGAAAGACTATTCAGGCTACAAGTGTAGCCATCGACAGTGGTGTGACTAAGGTGTTTGCTTAAGGAGTATGGTTTGAGCAAAAAGAGTTGTTGAGATCATGGATATATATCCATGGTTGAGATGGAAGAGCATTGCCTAAAAACCACACTTTTTTAAACCAATCCATCAAAAATTCATTTGTTAAACAAATTCATTAAAATTTATATAAAACTTATTACTTTGATCTTTTAAATAAATTTCGTGATCTTGTGATAATATTTGACTTAAGAAAAGGTATGTTTAAAAAATATATTTTTGATCAAATACATATTTAACATGTCAGAACTTGTGCAATTTATTTCTATTATAACATTAATTATGAGTCATATGTGGAAAATTCAGCGTCTCTAAAAGTAAAAACAATAGCAACGGTATAAAAAAATTCTAAAAAAATTTGACGAGGTATATAAAAATGTATAAAAAATGGCAACTTAAATGGTCTAGTCATTAACTTTTGCCTAATTTTTCCTCAACAATTTGAAAAGAGCTGAACAAACAAACAAATGAGAAAATACTCCACCATTCATGTCTTACATTACACGATCGATTCATACTTTCCCAGTCAATTTCTTGGCATGGCACAGTAAAAAATTATTTTCTCTAAAAAAAATGTTTCTCTCTTCTTTTTTCATATTGCTGTTTGTGTGTAAAAAATAATTTTATGCAATTCTGAAAAAGGAATAATAAATTAATTATTTATTTTAAAACAAGAATGCCTTAAACTTTATTTGATACATTTCCACTGTACTGATTACTATTTACTCATTCGAAATATTCTCGCCGATGTCAAAAATATATAAAAAGCTATTGATAACTTTTTTTATGAATCATATAACAAAATAATTTCAAATAAAAACTGAGACACGAACTGCGCTGGGTTGAGTTGTTCTTTCCAAACTTCAGCTACGTCTCCCTCTTGTTAGAAAAATATGTATGTAATGACTCATCTATTTTTTACAAACTTCGAGTGATTTTAAAGGAAGGTCAAGACGGTGTTAGTCGATGAAAATAGTTTCAGAGCTTTAATTTGGAGGGACGAAACTTTAGGCTCTACACAGGTAACAAATTTATAATTCTATTTATTCCAATGGCGTTTTATTAAACGGTTCGCAAACATTTGCACAATGTAGCATCAAGGAAGAAAACAATTAAAGAGCAATACTGTGATTGTTTGTAAACTATTCAGTTTAATTGACAGTTTCTGAAACAATTCATAAACATAAAGTGTTAAAACAGTTCAACTCTTATGTGCAACTTCATATTTCCGCTTGACAAATGTTAGAAAACAATTACTTAATTAGTAATGATGAATGCCAACAAAAATTATTTAATCGACAAACTACAAACAATTTAAACTTTAGTTGACATTTAATAATGATTTCTCCAACAGTAATTTTTTTTAAAATAAGTGCTCTGTTTCATAATTTTTTTTTAAATCTGCTAAGGGCATATAAAGGGGTATACCTAAATGTACATCATCTTCTTTACGCGATATCTGTGGAGTGAAACATTGAAATAAATTTTCAATTTGAGAATTGATTTGTGTGTACTTTTGTAACAGGATTACTTTTGAAACTAACACGTGTATTTTATTTTAGACTCCTCTAATTTAATATTCTATTGCTAAACAGGTCGAAAATTTTCTTGTCACATAAAAAATTTAAATTAGCTACAAGACCAACAACGCGAAAAACAAATTGTTCACCCAGATTTTAACACCTCCACCATACACACGTCAACTTATAATTTACACATTTTTTTGATGTGATATCAAAATTAATTATAATTTCTGTAACCAGATTAGCAAACAAAAATATAATTAATTTCTAAATATTATAACAGAACAAAAAAGTCTTACTTTTTAAAACTAATAACTTTCACAAAATGTTTGTGCTTATTTGAATTATGATGATGAACACAAAGTACTCGCATAGTTGAAACATTTAAAAAATATATTGAAATTTATAATTTTGGGTTGCCTTTTAATATTGGCACGGGGTTATCTTCAAATTTGATTCTTTTAAGTAGTAATTTCGTTTAAACTTCTTAAAGTTCATTAAGAATTATTTAAACTTTCGTTAGACAACTCAGAATAAGTTTGAAATTATATTTGATATATTATGAACAATAAATTTTTCCTGAAATTGCTGTATGTATAATAAAACAAACATTCACTAATTTCCCTACAATGTCCATAGGCAAAATTCTTCTTCATTCTACCATAAATCGTCAAGTTTCTTATCGCATACTTATTGGCATATTTCTGCCTTATGATAACTGTTGTAGTTTGTCCAAAAACTTTGTAGTTTCTTCTGCAGCGTGGAATTAATCAGTTTGTTTATAGAAGAATTATTTTTATATAATTTATTATTAAATAGAAACATTTACAAAAGGTTTTTCAAACATATAATTTTTATTTAATTGTTTGCTTAGTCTTAATTAATTATAATTATCGTTTTATGACGTTTTTTGCTTCTACAACATTTGAATATGATAATTATATTCAAATAATTAACTAAGTATGACAAATAAACACACACACACACACACACGAAAGCACACCCGCAAACAGACACACACACAAACAAACACACACTAACACAAACACATATACGTAGATACAAATACGATTTAAAACTTTTTTCCACATTCATTCCCAAGTCAGTTGGTTCATGTCTTATGGCCATCCATCACCGATATATGTATATAAAATTCCTCGGAGTCATTCAATTGACCTAATCTTACGTGCAGACGAGCATGAAGTTAACATGCATCTAATTCTAACATCTAGTGGTCACAACATGCACACGCACAAACACACGCAAACACACACACACACACACACAACACACACACACATGCAATCTATATTTATTAATCTTATATCTATCATCTATCTTATAATATGATACCTTCCCCACAGTTCTAAATGTAAGACTTCCACCTTATATATGTCCCTCTCATATTTTCGAGTTCATTTATCATAAATTGAATGCATTCACCGAAAACTCTTAATAACGTCATGCAAGCTAAACATAAAACACGTCGCTAGTTTGACATCAATTCTCTAGCAACATAAACAATAAAATAACACACTCGCACATTTACTTACATACACATGCATATACAAACATGCAAAACAACATCCACATACTACACACGTTTATTCACATTCACACATAAACAAAATATAAACACCACATACCAACACACACACACACACATACAACACACACAACATTGGTATATCTAGCTTACGGACGTTTACATACAACTATGATGCATAAACATCACAAACCATTATATATAAACAACAACACCAAACATCAACATACACTCAACAACAACAACAATATCAGCAACAACAACATCAACATGAATACTCCCATCACCTCCATCTTAAAAACAAAACCGTAATGGTACTGATTTAGTTTTATTGATTTTATTTTTAATACAATAATTGTTGAAGGCAATAAAAAATATTTTAATTAGAGCACATTAAATTGCATAATGCATCATTTTTTCAATACTTTTTATTCTATTATTACAACTAATTTAATTATAGAATTTTAATAAATAATCAAGGTGTGAGACTAAAGGCATAGATGAGCGGTTGGAAATATTTTATTTATCACACTGACAAAAAATTCTCCATTTTAATTCGAGCCATTAAGGAAGCAATCGCCTAATGTACAGTGGCCGCCGTTGTTAGTGGTTAGTTGCTGCTAGTTGGTTGCTCGATGGTTGCTGGTTAGTTGCTCGATGGTTGCTGGTTGGTTGCTCGATGGCTGCTAGACGGTGTGAAAACTAATTACAAGCAAACATTTTTCGTCGACATTCGACTCCGATGCTCTTAGTGTCCACTCGATATAATTGCACATTCTTATAAGAATAACACGCATGCAAATGAACAAAAGAACAAAAAATACACACACACACAAACAGACAAACTAGGACATACAAACAAACAATAAAGTAACCAAACATCCAAACATAAAAACACACAAACAACCAACCAAACGAACGAACAAATGAACGAACGAAATAGGAATCAAATAAAAAAATCAAAACCATGCAAACAATGGAACATTTGTTATTCAGGCATTCACATTATAGCTTCCAATCAAATTATGAAGACCATAAAATTTTTAAATAATTTTTATATATTTTCTCTTAAATCTCTTAACATGCTTTCATTTTTTACAGATTTTTAAGTGAAAAATAAAACTGAATGAACATATTTTTTCGTATGCGTTCACTTCACATTTCTTTAACGTCTTCCACGAAATGAGCATTAGTGAATGAAAAAAATTAAACTGGAAAGATGGAAAAAATTAAAAATTTTTCGGTGGATCTTATAGTTTTTTTCTCATTTCGTTGCTGAAATATAAATTTTTTTGCTAGCAATAGTGCAAAACAAAATATTTATATCGCATATCAAATAAAAAGTTACATGTTGCTATATCTGTGTTGGTGCGAGCCGACTGAATTATAATTATTAAATTTTAATAAGTAATAAAAACACTATCAGAAGATATCAATCGACTGACGATAGTGACAATAAATGAATTAGTGGGACTGGAGGAGTTTCTGAGAGATGGATAGGCGAATGTGTGAATAGATGGAAATGTGATAATGTGATTAGACAGTTATATGAATAGAAAAATGTGCTTCTAAGACACTAAAAGTGTAAATAAATAAATATCCAAAACAATTAATGATACGTAAGTAAAGTAACAAAATTCACCGACAAGACCTTCTACTTAGTTTGAACCTGTACATTTTTTGCTGCAGAACTGTGTTGTCT